TGAGGGAATTCCTTCAAATTTGATACAAACATCCACTTTGACCGTAGGATGAATTGATCAGATATTGGTGTTCAAAGATCACTGTGACCTTGCATCTGTCTCATTCTCGTGTATGCAATATCTAAAGCACTCGACTGAATTCTTTTCAAATTTTGCACAAACGTCCATTGAGAAGCAACAATGAAGTGATAACAATTTGGGGGTTAAAGGTTGAGGTCACTTTGACCTCACAAAACATATTTATGCCTCCACACCAGTGATAGCCATAGCCGGAGGCATTATGATCTTTGGGTTGTCCATCAGTCTGTCCATCTCATTCTCGTGAACACGATATCTACAGAACGCCTTGAAGGAATTTCCTCAAATTAGGCACAAACGCCCCCTTGGACTCAATGCTGAGCTGGTTAGATTTTGGTAGTCAAAGGTCAAGGTCAGTCTGACCTTGCATCTGTTTCATTCCAGTGAAAGCAATATCTCACAAATGCCTTGAGGTAAATTTTATTTTTTTTCCAAATTTGGCAAAAAACACCCACTTAAAGACCAAGTGATTTGATTATGGTAGGGTCATGGTCACTGTAACCTTGTCTGTCTCATTCTTGTAAGCATGATATTTCAATAACGTCTCAGGAATTTCTTCAAATTTGGCTTGAACATTCAATTGGACTGAAGAATAAATCGATTGGATTTGGTGTTTGAAAGTCAAAGGTCAAGGTCAGGGTGACTTTATAAAACATATTTTTGGCCATAACTATAGAATGTATATGGTAATTACTGCAAAATGTTACACAAATGTCTAAGAGAATAAAATGATAAAGTGGTGACATTTTACATCCAAGTCATCTTCATCTTCACTGTGACATCATAATGTTCTGCAAAAACACTTTTCTGGCCATTACTCAATATCATAACTCAAGAACTGAAGCGGAGATATTTGGTGAGAGACTGAATTGGTGACTCTAATCTTGAAACCGTGCCGACTGTATAGGTCTTTTGTGCTGCCAGATTGAAGATGTGTGTGAAGCATCCATGTTTCAGAATTTGTCACTTATTTGCAGCAACATCCATAATTGAAGCATTATCAATTGTCATAGCTACATAATGAGTCTGGACAGACATCTGGTTAGCAGAGGCATACAGCAGCAAGGTGGTAATTCTAATTTAAAAAGACATCTCCAACCACTGCCTCCCTTTCTTAGACTGCTTTCTAACATACTAGTCTCTTTCTGTTGAATCCCTGATATCACTGTACTTCAGTCCAAAGTGACAAACTGGCACAATGTGATTTTACCAGGCAGGACATGCTCCTGGATCAACATCCCACATCGCATTCCAGGACCAACACTGCAATCAACCAATCACAGCCCTCCGACATCATCAATGTGCTGCTCCTGTGCTTCTTTCAAAATTCCTTTGTGCTTCTTCAGAACTAATAGTTTTTCCACATTAAAGTTAGTACAATAAACAAAATCAGACTATAGTGGACTATAGTTATATAATAAATAATCTAATAATAAAAAGTGGAAAACTTAAATGTTAGTTTGACTGTAACATATGCCACATTACTGTCAACTGATATTTTTGTAGTGTTAGTAAAAGGTAATCAAAAAGTCACATTGTATAGGACTACTGAACATCCTTTAAAAGGCATTGAATTCATTGATCTAAAACTAATGTCTTAATTGGTGTTTAAATGTCTTAAATCAGTCTTTCAAAAGTTCAAAAATTCTCAGAGATAGGAAGTAACATTTTATGAATCTTTTATTTTCTGATATTGCATTATAAAATTTAAAAATAATTGGTAACTTCTATTTTCTTTAAATATTTTACCAAATGCCTCTCACCTTACCGTCACACAGATCAGGACAGAAACAACAACACTCATATTTTGTGTCTGGTCAGGATGCCCAGAGCAGAGGATCCTCTGTCTCCTAGCTAGCTATCACTGTATTTGACGACATGGGGAAGTGCAAATAGAGTGCTCCAGGGATGATCTTTTTCTGTAGGCCTATGTGGAAGTCAGCAGTGCCTTGGTTTCCTCATCAAAAAGCCTTTGGGGTTTTTCTATTGGACTTTGGATTATTGCAGAAAATAAGCTCTGAGGCAAACAAACATCTATGATACTAACACTTTTTTTTCTCTGCAATCTTAACAAATGAAGGCCTCTTTCATGATTTTTGAAGCCTAAATGCAATCACCAGAAGTAAAAAGCTTAGGCTTGTGTTAACCCCAGACCTTATATCAGGCATCTAACCAAAAACCCATTCAAAAAAACACACTGACTTCAAGAGAAAACAGGGAGTCCTAACATGCTTACTCATTAAGGACTCATTCCTAGCAACACCTGTGAGAGGTCCTGGTTTACACCTCACATCGAGAGGTCTCATGGGTTTGAATCTGCTGGACAGCTGGAGCCTTTCTGTGTGAAGCATGTTCTGTGTATATGCTTCCTCAAGGAGTATCAGTTTGCTCCCACAGTCTTAATACAAGCAGGGTAGGTGAATTGTAAACTCTGAATTAGGAGTGTGAATGGTTGTGACAGAATAGTGAGCTGTGCAAGTGTACCCTGCATCACCCAAAGCTTGCTGAGATAGTTTCCAGCTCTGTCCTGCTCAAGATGACAGCTGGATATATACATAGCGAGGTTAATATATCACTGAGCACACATACAACACGGTGGTAGAGAAAGAAATCATTGTATTATTAGTCACATAGCCTTAAGACCTTCATGACATGCCTGAGTTGAATATTCACATTAGTTAAATTCATCAAAATACAAAAATAGCATTTATACAATAAAGAAACTAAAACTGTACAACGTGTGTTGTTTGATGGTACATAATGAGTGTAAGCTGTGCAATGACTCTAAAATACTGCTAAAATACTTACACACTAATTATTCTCCCAAAACATGTTGATTGTCCTTATTTAAAACTACATTTATCACAAAGAAAAATCTCATCCACAACAAAAATAATTTGACTAATAAAAAAGATATGATTTTTCATAAAGTGATGGACATGGACATCTATGAATGATCATATAAAAATATATTTTTAAAAAAGAAAAAAACATCTAGTGTCAAGACATGAACTTATCTGCTAGGTGCACCAGTAGGCAATTTGTCATAGCAATTACTCATTATTAAACAAATCCCTCTGTTCATAAAACCCTTACAGAAACTCATTGGGTAATGGTCCAATCTCACTGACCGCATAAGCATGAAATTGTAAATTAAGTAGAAAATTGTTATGGAAGATCAGAGACATCCACATTGTTTGGCAACTATGCTACTAGCCCACTTGGGCTACTTTCTGAATGAAGCATTCAGTCCTATCAGTCATTTTGCCCACAATAATTACCTTCAAACTGATGGGCATGATAGTGTCTGAGAATGTCATCTCATTAATGGCTACAAACATTTCAATGCCCATCTGCAGTTACAGTGCAGTGTCACTGATTTAAAGGACTAGTACAAAATGTTGGGAAATGTGCTTTATTTATGCTAGTTCAATGTTCAGATGGATATTAATCTCATGTTAAGACTTGTACATGAGATTGATATCCATGGAGTCAAAGTACAGACTTGGTCAGGATGTGGTTAGCCTAGCTTAGCATTAAGACTAGAAGCAGCTAGTCTGACTCACTTATTAACAGGTTATATCTCATTTGTTTAACCTAAAGATGAACTGAAATGTAAAAAATGTATTTTAGTAAGTCTTTTCATCCCAGTGAGGCTGCCATGTTTGGTACCATCATGTCTGTACAGAGACCAAAGCCAACAACTGTGTTTACTGAGTTCATCTGGCACCCTGGGCTGTAGATTTTGCTGGAAAGGGGGCCAAAAAATGCTCCAAAGTTACGAAAAACTTTGGCGAGGGAAAAAGGAACACTGCCATTTTTCAAAATTATTTCTGCATATTGGGGTCCCTAAACAGTCTTGCCATTATATAAATTGTAGGTGAAAGATTGTAAAGTTCTGCACACAATTTATTTCATTAAAGTAGCATCTTTTCAGTCATGATTTCATCGTATGAAGTAACAAGTTTGCGGTAATTTCTTCAGGCAATGTTTGATTTTACTTTTCTTTAATTATTTATTGGCATTTTTTTGGCAAAAAAATAAATACAAAATACATGTGGATATATGATTAATTGGATTATAAGGAAGCTGGAAGTATAAAATTTTGCATAGTGATTTGACATCCCCTGGTCTATGGACCGAATCACCATGAAATTGCATTAAAAACAACAGTCACTTCTGGGTAAACAACTGGCAAGTGATTTCAAATATGGAGATAGGCAAAATCGGCAAACTTAATACCAGCTGTGACAACAATGCGACAGCTACAATTTTCACCTCATGAGTTTGTGTGTGTGTGTGTGTGTGTGTCATCATGGCAAAATGATCTTGGCTGGAGAGATCCCATTACAAGATGGTCTCTAGTTTATTTTTGTTGCCTTTTTTAGCCATAATTGTCATGTTTAAAGACAAAGCGGCCTGTCTATCTGTATTTTATATACTGTGTTGCTATGCTAGCATCTTTGATAAACAAAATCTGCCAGCATGAAAGCTATGCAATGTACTGCTGTGGACAGGGGCTGCAGCAAAATGTATTTTAGCCACGTCAAGCTGGAATGACCATCGTTAAACAGAGGGGGTGGCTTACAACACTTCTTATCCCCCACCTACAATGCAGTCTTGGGATCCCTCCCCAGACAACTTCACACCTATTCACCCCTGGTCCCACCTGCCCTTAATGACTCACATGGTGGCCAGGTGGGTCAACAACTCACACTGTGACCTTAACGACTCTGAAAATAAGAGCTCACGTGACCCCTACGACTCTGCAAGGGTTCCCACCCACACAGGATTTATAGCCTGCAACTTCGTACTAGTCATTTAGAACTGAAGAAGCTTCTTGGATGAGAGGCGAAACATCTTCAAGAAACGCAAGCAAGTCCAGTTGCCTACGATATTAGCACTTAGGTATTTTAGCCACCTAAAAAAAATCTGAATTCGTTTAAGTGTATGCTGTATTTGGAATATTTTCTTCACTTTACCTTACACACTAACAGATGGAGGCAGTGGTAAACCAGCAACTGCAGTGTTCTGCAAAGTAAAATTAGTGTTTTTGTCAATCTGGTGGCTTAGAGTTCCACGTCGGATAGGGCTGTCTGATGGCAAAGTATTGGGGATGAAAACATTCTAAATATAGCAAACACTTAAACTGATATTGATCTTTTTTCTAGGTGGCTAAAAACGAACCAACTGAAGCAACATTTGCTCAGCACCATTTCATTTTATGCATGTGACGCGGGGCTTTTCTACTCAGAAAACATTTCAAACAAACACTGTGATTCAGTCTATAGCAAGAGATACAGCACAGAAGTATGAGGTGAATGGATAAACTGTTGTTCCTCAAGAAATAGTTCCACTACGTAACTGCCTAAAACCACTAAATTTCATTTTTACATACTCTTAGTGCACAGGTAAAACAAACAATATACACTGTAAATAACACAGTTTTAGTCTTATTTTTTACTTTGGGCAGAACCTGGCTCGCCATTTTCCCCTACTTCCAGACTTTATGCTGAGCTAGGCTAACCATGCCCTGACTCAAGCTCCACATTTAACAGACAGACATGACATCCAAATCCATCTTTTCATCTTACTCTGGGAAAGTGAATATGCGTATTTCTGAAAATGTTGAACTGTTTCTTTAAGAGCAGCAGAAATAAAAATAATACCAAGGGGGTGCACACATGAAATTCCACACCAAATCAACACCTTAACATGGTCACATGGAAGTCATTCGCTTGCTGTCATTTTCTACTCGTCCTCTTTCATAAGGCATGATTGGATATTTATTCAGTGTGAATGTAAAGTGAAAATCTTTATTTTCCCTACAACATGCACAACTATCCATTACTGCCTTTACAACGTGTGCAAAACAGTACCTGTAAATCCAGGCTGTTAGACTTTCTACATCAAAATGTTTTGGGATAGCCACGAAAACTGGAGGTGGAGAAAGACATTCTTCTTGCTGCAACTTGAGACAAGTTTTTCCAAAATGTAGGCTCTGCTCACTATAGTCTTTTCAAGGCCTGTGGGTAGTACTTGAGGAAGATCCTGCGGGCAATCTCGTATGTGTCTCCCTGAGGCTTGGTCGGGTATCTTCGGCCGTTGTAAATGAATCCCTTTTCTATCTGGAAAACTGCCTGATTGAAGGTGTCCTGCTTGAATGGTCGTCCGCTGTCAAGACACTCTACCAGGGTGTGAACGAAAAGGCCCCATCGCTGGGCATAGTAGTCCTCCATGAGGCCTCCCCACTCTTTGCTGGCATAGTCCAGGATCTCACCACTGGGACCCCATAGAGTGAGCTGGTTTCGGGCGTTCATGTCATAGAGCTGTGCCTCCTTCTCATCTATGGCTAAGGATCGGGCCTGCTCCAGCCATGTCCCCAACAGGAAGTTGGGATCGCTACTCAGCAAACAATTGAGCTCAGGCAAGAGGTCATAGACCAGCACTCCGCCTGCAGTCAGCAGCTCTGGCAGCTTTTGATTCTTGTAGGCATCTGCAATATCCTGGTAAAAGGAAGTTGTCAGGACTTGTAGGACCTGCCGAGTCACATCCACTAGATCATACCTATAGGTCTCCTTGGACATGAGAGATGGAGCTGCCTCAATAATCAGTTTCCAGGCTTCGTACAAATCAGCCGGGTCATACCAAAGGTCAGTATTCATGTGAAAGGAAGGCCGACGCACCAATGGGCTGTGGTTGTGGTTCCGGTAATGTGGCACAGTGCAGTTGTAGATGCTGGCGAACAGGAGCCTCCATGCAGCAGTCAGATTCTCTTGTGTGCTGCCATAGCGGCGTACTGCATATAGTGATGCCCATTTGGACAAGTTGACCGGCTCCTTGCGCCAAGCCAGCTCGCTCATCAACTCGTACATTACAGGATTCTGCTCAATGCCCTCAGGTGTTATGCCTATGCCCACCATGGTGGAGTTTGGGAAATGTAAGGCTTTAAAAGGCCCTGAATTGATGCTCTCCACCGTGCCAAAGAATCCACTGTTGCCCCCAAAGTTGTGCAGCATGCACCAGATGAAGGGCTGTCCATAGAACGACTCTGTGTAGGAGAAAATTGGCTCGGTCTCTGCAAACAGGTCTAGCACGATCATTCTTCCGGCGGGCACTCCATGTAGTAGTGCCTGGATCTGGGCAGGCTTCCAGAACACTGCGTCACTGAAGAATAGCCAGCCTTGCATCAGCCAAATTGCCTGAGGGTCAACTAGGGAGAAAAATGAGATTTGGATGAGAAACAAGAAGGGGATAGTTCTCGAACGTGGCGGAAAATCAGCAGGGAGATCGAGGAGGGCTGTCTGTGCAAGAGAAGTGGACAACATGTCACACACAGGTCATCTAACTAGGGCAATTATTGTACTTGTTACCCAAAATATCAGAAAGGAACCGTCAGATTTCAAATTTGCAATGTGAAAGAGACACTCACCTGCGGTCATTGAGGCGAAGACAGAGCGACTGACTGCAGACAGGTAGGTGGGGTCAGAGGAAGGTGGGGTCATCTCATTGAAGGCATCAGTGTTGTAGATGTGATCTGTACCAAACTGCTTCACCACCTGGGCCAGATAGAGGGAACCAATCTGAAGGAAAAGTGGGTCACGAGGGTCTAAGACATAGGAGCATGAGAAGCTGCAGTTGAAGTGAGACCAGGGCCCTAGTCTGGTTACATTGGCTCCTGGATACAACCTGAAATATAAAAACATTTCAGTCAATCAAAGGGTGTGACTGAAAAATTCACTGTCAGGGTTCCCACACCTACTTAAACTTCAGATTCAAGGACTTTTCAAAGGCTTTCCATGCCCAATTCCCTCACATTCAAGGACCCAACATGGCATCATTTGAGACACGGATTAAGGTTAATTACTGTTACAACACTGAGAAGTTTTATAATGAGAACTCGCAGGCTTTACAGAAGCTCCCAGACAATAATTAAAAAGAGAGAGAGGCTTGAATGTGTGAACACTTCTCAATAGTGCTGTGTTACAGTGATGGCAGGCTATGTGGTCTCTTGCTTTCTTTAATACAGCACAGCAAAACAATATATTGTGTAAGTTGAGTAAAATTTCTATTCTTGTACAAAATGTATAAATTCAAGCACTTACAATGACTCATGTCAATTTATGGTTTTGAAAACTTTAAAGACTTTATACTTTTCCTTTAAATTCACTAACTTTCAAGTATTTCAAGGACCAATGGGAACCCTGTACTTTACTGTCCCAAGCCATATCTTCACCTACTGGTTTTCTCAATAGAATCAGGGACCTGAGACACAGTAGTAAACTGAAAGTACAGACCCTGAGAGCAACCTGAGTTGGAGAGAAATGTCTGTTTGAGTGTCTGGGTGTTTCTCAAAGTCAAGGAAGGATTCTCAAATGGCTGAATTTGAAGGACGCTACATCATAGACCCCCTCTGAAGGACTGTTCCAATGTCAAGGATTTCTCTGAAAGAAGGACTCAGTCCTTCGAAGGATGCATGTGTGGATCGTCCACGGGTATAAAATCCCCACAATGCTTTGCACACGATTTGCTGGAAGTGAAGGCGGGGCCTCTTCAATGAAATCTGCTCCAGCGGAGCTCAGCAGGACTTAGATAAATATGTCATTTATTTGGATTAATGTCTCCAGGAGTTTTTACCATACAAGCATGAAAAAAATATTGACAGAAACCTCATAATTTACACTTTCCAATGCGTCCACCGCTAAATAACGAGATTTTTTTTTAAATAACGTGATTTAGATCAAATATAAAAGGTTTTAAATTAATCATCCACAGCAGAGATGAAGCGCTAAATGTCCATCTCCCCTCCTCCTCCCACTATACTATAACAACATGATAACTGCTCTTATTCTGTCAACTTCAGGTGGTGTATTTTTAGGGGAAATAGTGGTGAGAACAGCCACAGTAAAGATGTTGGAATATCTTGCAGGTCAAAGATAACATTACCCGGCGGTATAATGTACAATCGGCATGGTCAGCTGTTTCAGAGCAGCGCGGCTCATCATATCAGATCCGCTATTGATATTATTGTAGCAGAGTGTGTGGTGATACACAAAGAAAATATAGAACACTTTGAAATGACAGAGTGATTATGTGTGTGAGTCTGTGCATAAACCGTTAATGATAATTTCGAACTTTTTTCAGCTGTTGTCTTTACTTCATTACTCCACTTACTCTTAAATATGATCCAGAAATATATTCTCCCTAAAAGTCACGTGATTCTGACAATACTGATACATTTGTTTAAAACTGTACAACAACATTAGAGAGTGCCAAAATTATTACAGTACCCTGAAACCCTCTAAGTCTGCTGAGGGTTAATGATGTACAAATAGGGACACTTGTTAGCCTGTTCCAATGTGTGTTAACTGAATGCTGGGAAGGACTCTTGCCTTGCCTCTGCAGGATCCTTCCTTGGGAGGACCCGTCCTCCTAAGGAAGGATCCTTGACTTTGACAGACACCCTCTATTGGAGCCCCAACTTCTTTATATATAGATATTCTTAGACAGTTCCTTAACTTATTCAAATTCCCTGACCATTCCAATGGACATATCTTTTCTAGGATGTCTAGATCTACTATTACTGTCATCTGAGTCCACCCAAATGCATAGACTTGATTGGCTGTCTATAAGCCAATCACAGTGCTCAATGTCATGTAACTGGGCTGTAACACAGTGCCCCAGGAATGATGGAGTGTTCCAAATCGCATACTTTTTTATTTTTATTCTCTAGTAGATACTGCAACTGCCCTTAAAAAGTATGTATGGTTGCATGCAGTATGTACGCTATAAGGACATACTACCTCCTCCTAACGGTACGCCCTGAAATTTGACCCTCTTACTCATATATCTGTTAGTTAGTTGACTCAAATATGACTAAAACTAATAAGCATTTTCATCTAAGACTAAATCTAAAATAGCTTTCAAAATTAACAGTGTCGTACTGCAAAATCCAGATTGTAGTAAAATATTCTGGTATTTTTGGTGTACTGCATTTGACACAGTATGTATTGGGAAATACCAAATCTTTTTCTGGCATACTACATAGAATGGTAGTATGGGCCTTGGAACGCACAGTGAGTCCTAAAACCCAAAAATGAGTTAGCATTTTTCCACTCCTGGTTCCTGCGTCTCAAAGTCAATGGGTTTTCTGAAAATGTTTTGGTTTGACACGGAGTACACCGCTCAAAAAAATGGAAGGAAACACTTAACGGTCACAGTATAACACCAAGTCAGTTAAACTTCATGGATATCAATCTGTCCATTTAGGAAGCACAAGTGGTTGTGAATCAGTTTTTCCTGCTTTGGTGTAAAAGAAAGTGACAACAGGTGCAATGGAGAGGCAAAAGCAAGACAACACCTAAAAGAGTATGGTTTTACATGTGGTGTCCACAGACAGTTGCTCTCTCCCTGTCCTTCCTGACTGATTCTGCTCTAGTTTTGTGTTCTGCTAGTGTCCTTGTCAGTACTGGTAGCATGAGGAGGTACCTGCAGCCCAATCAGATTGCACAGGTAGTCCAGCTCCTCCAGGATGGCACATCCATACGTGCAGTCACAAGACGGTTTGCTGTATCTCTCAGCACAGTCTCAAGATCATGGAGGAGATTCCAAGAGACCAGCTCTTACATGAGGAGGGCTGGACAGGGCTCTAGAAGGGCATCAACCCAGCAGCAGGACTAGTATCTGCTCCTTTGTGTGAGGAGAAAAAGGACGAGCACTGCCAGAGCCCTACAAAATGACCTCCAGCAGGCTACTGGTGTGCATGATTCTGACCAAATTGTCAGAAACAGACTCAATGAGGGTGGCATGAGTGTCAAATGTCCTCTAGTTGGACCTGTGCTACCAGCCCAGCACCATGCAATTCACTACCAGAATTGGCAGGTCTGCCATTAGCACCCAGTTCTCTTCTCAAATGAGAGCAGGTTCCTACTGAGCACATGTGACAGGCATGAAAGACTCTGGAGAGATCTGGAGACTCTGTGGTAAATGTTCCTCTGCTTGTATTATCATACATCATCCAGCATGACCAGTTTGACAGTGGGTCAGTGATAGTCTGGGGAGGCATATCCTTGGAGGGTTGCACAGACCTCCATGTCATAGCCAACAGTATCCTGACTGTTGTTAGGTACCGGGATGAAATCCTCAGAGCGACTGTCAGACCTTACGCTGGTGCAGTGGGCTCTGGGTTCCTCGTGGTGCAGGACAATGCCCAGCCTCATGTGGCCAGAGTGTGTGGGCAGCTCCTGGATTATGAAGGCACTGATGACATTGACTAGCCCTCTCGTTCCCCTGACCTCAATCTTTATGTAATGTGTGCATCTGTCACCGCCAAGTACCGCCACAGACTGTCCAGGAGCTCACTGATGCCCTGATCCAAGTCTGGGAGGAGATCCCCAGGACACCATCTGCCAACTCATCAAGAGCATGCCCAGACATTGTTGGGAGTGCATACAGGCATGCTAAGGCCACTGAGTCACATTATGAGTTGCTGTGATAAAATTCACACAAGTCAGATCAGCCTGTGATTTCAATTGTTTTACTTACTGATTTTCGGTGTGATTTTGAAACCAGCCCTCAGTGGGTTGATGATTTTGGTTTCCACTGATCGTTATTACGACATTTTGTTCTCAAAGGAATGTACATCAGTAAAGATTTTCAACTTGAATAGTTCATTCATCAAGATCTGATGTGTGATTTAAGTGTTCCCTTAAATTTTTTTTGAGCAATGTACATTTTTGAGCTCACAGTGGTCAACTATCTCATACTCAAAAGATAACTTAGCCTGGCTGATTAACACAGACCTATCGGTATCAGCATAAATGACAGTTGATAAGTAACAATATATATCAGTAGAGAATTGTCAGAGATATGTTTGACATTAGAGGAAGTGATTCCAACAGATAGTTTGTCCTCCACAGAGCGCTGACAAGTTTATTTACTGCACTGTAAAAAGTCCCACTCACAACATACCTTGGACACAATATATCATAACCAGATTAAGGGAATTATTATTACAAATGATTGCTTATGTTAATTTTTTTTAATGTTCCAAGCCAATTCTAGGGTTTGGTGTCGGAGCCAATTAGATCAGTATCAACTAAAATAGATCTGATCAAAATCTGATCCCATATATTTTACTGTATTCTGCTGTGTTCTATATGCCTCCGCTTGCTAGTGTTGCAGCCCTGCTTTCCCTTACCATAACCTTAAGTGGGAGTATTTCATTGCATATCCAGGTGAAAATTAGAGGTTGAATATATAAACATTTGTATGGGGATAAAACATTCAGGTAACGTTAGCAGCAGCTCATTATTTTGACAGCGGCACTCTTTGCTTTCACCAGTAAAATGACAAATGTCGCTGGCGGCAGGTCATATCAGCTGTCATTTATTAACATTAAAATGTTAAACAAGCAGGAGTCACCTGAGGATTCCTTTGGGAATGTTCCCAGAAAAGGCTGGCAGCACAGGAATCATGCCAAAGGATCTCATTCGCTCCAAGATTTTAAACTGCAAAAAGGAAGGAAATGTCATGTGAGAGGATTCATTCCGAGGCAGCTGGTCAGATAAAATTCATCAGCAAACATTTTAAATATACACATGATTTCATCTACAAAAACAGATGGTCGTTATAAAGGATAAATGGTCAGTTTATGACAACTTGGGCCTTATTTTGGCCATGGGTTGGAAATGAACCCCCAGATCAGTCAGACTTATTTAAAATAGAAAACAAAGGCAACAGTAAAACTACGAATGCAACTGAGTGTGGTCACAGTTAACAGACCCACTTCCAGCTTCAGCTTTGAGCTACTGTACTAATGCTGTGTTCACACTTAGAGCAACATAGCTATAGGTTACAATTCATATTCAATGGAAGCTGCTGACATAAAGCTACAAACTGATGCTCGACACTTGTCCCTGCTGGTGTGTGTGATGTACTGCAAATAAAAACTGAGCTGGCCTTAACTTTTTTCAGCGCCCTATGATGCCGTAATGTGTCAACCAATCATAACCCCTTTTACACTTGCGCGAATGTTAAGCAATTTCGCCGGCAAGCTGAGAGCGTTTAGCCACACAGAGCCGGATTGGCGAGTTGATCCGAGGTGCCCAATTTTCCTCCTCTTAGGGTAGTCATATTGGTGGAACCCTTTTAGTTTAAACAACGTGAGGGGCTGTTGATGACCTGTGGGAGGAGCTGTTGATGATGCGGCACGTGCGAGCCACTGACGGTGGATAAATAGGAAACAGCTGATAGCAGAAATTAGCGAGCAGCTAGTAGCAAGAGGGAAATTGATACTGTAAAGATGAGCAACTGGGGAGACAAGGAATTGCATGTCCTCCTTGTCCTCGCAAACGAAGAGGCCATTAATCGTCAGATGACAGGAACGGTGAGGAACGGGCCAACTTATGAGAGAATCGCCGAAGGACTGACTAGCCACGGCTTCCCTCCCACATCACTGTTTACGTCACATGCTGAGCTACACGTTTTGTTACTTGCTCAAGCCCCCCTTGTCCTGAAAATGGCGCATCCTGTATAAACAAAAGCAGGTTGGCGGCATTTTGCCGCACTCCCCGATTTTGTTTTTATACTGCCAATGCTGAAAAAAGACTGATTGGGCTTTCCTGCAAATTTGCACAACTCCTATCTAAAAAGGGCTATATATTGCTTGTGTCTAGCTGCAGTGCTGTTTGATTTAGATAAGTTAACAGATGCTTTGCTAACTTTCTGTGACTTATGGTGCACCTGGAGATGTTGAAATGAAGCACAGACATTGATCAACAGCATAGATATTTTTTTGGCCAAATACAAACTTTAGATGACGTTCAGTCCAGTTGCTTTATGGTAAGTAGCAGACACACACAAGCCTGTGACAACGTAACTATGGTACTGAGTGCTTGAGAAACACTTCAATGCGTAACTTGACAATAATGTAGCTGGTGACACTGTTGCGTTGTTGCAGCAGTAGCTCAGTCCATAGGGACTTGGCTTGGGAAACAGAGGGTTGTCAGTTCAAGTCCCTGTCTGGACCAAATATGAAGCATGGACTAGTGGCTGGAGAGGTGCCAGTTCACCTCCTGGGCACTGCCGAGGTGCCCTTGAGCAACCGCTCAGGGCGCCTGTCCATGGAAGCCCCCTCACTCTGACATCTCTCTCTACTTTGTGCACGTATAGGTCCTGTTTGTGCATGTGTGTGTATTTCGGACCTGTGTGTTAATGACGACAGAGTGAAAAAATTTAATTTCCCCTCAAGGGTATTAATAAATAAAGTATATAAAATTAAATTAAAAGTGTGGACACAGCCTAAGTGTGGACGTGTAAACATGTCAATGAAACACGTTTTCCTGTGCAATGAGAAATATGAGCAATATTCAGATGTGTTCACTTTCAATATTGACGTAAAATATAAGGGTTTAGAATCAACTTGGGGGTTTTGGTGTCACTATGGCCTCACTTGCACCAAGTAGTCAAGTTCAGTTCAGTTTAGTTCAGCTCTTCACACATTAGAACGGTTATTTTTGCATTGACATTGTCAAAGTTGGGGATGGAACCCATACAACTGCTCAATGCCGACCCATCACACTGGCCCGATACTAAAAGGTGGAGCTAGAAACACTACAGTCCATTGATTGGTCTCGAGAGAACAGTCACTCTTGCCCAATAAGGACTCAGTACACAACCCCACAATTTTTAAAGATATCGTCATTTACGCCAGAGACTCTAAATTGTCCAGCATGTTCTTTTTTGTTCTGAAAATGTCACAGCCCCATTTGGTGGACGATCAACAAGGTGCAGAAATTCCTCTGCATCACCCTGATGAGGAAATACACCAAGAGCTGGATGGAGCAGTGACACAGCAATAACTGTCTGGTAACAACTCCACCTGGATTTAAGAATACTGTCTGCAGTGGAAACATCACACTGATCTCGGGTTTGGTTACATGTCTGTACAGATTATGTATGGTTCTAAGGGTACTACACCGGAAGTGTTTGGTTGAAATGTGGCATACTTAACTCTGTTTCAAGATCTCAGCCATTACTTTTGCAAATACAATGTTATTAAAACCTAAACTGTTCAAACTGAAGCCACTATATCTAGAATAGCAATGTGATTATAGTATCTTTAATTTTTTTTCTGGTGGTCAAAGTTTCTGTTTATTGTAAAATAAGACAACCCAGTTTAAAACAACTATGCAGTCTATGTGAACATTTATTCTCAGTCTCAGTGTTGGATACTACCACTCGGTGGTGCCAAAGTCAAAAATGTCCTAATTCTAGACATAGTGGCTTCCAACTGTTGACAAGCATGGAGGCTTCAGTACTTGGAGATAGAGCTGGTTCACATGCCAGGACTGTGGCAGGGGCCCACCGAACTTGAAAATGTTTCCCATACGGTTCCAGGCAAGAAAGGCCGGGCCAGAGAAGAACTCTTCAATCTCCGACTGGTTTAACCCAAGAGCTCGGTAAACCTAAAGGTACACAACAAGTTGATAAGTTAATGTTCACATGCTGCTGCACATATCAAGCTATGTATCATGTATCTGCCTCTAATAGATTATCATTGCAAAGGTCAAATTGAGCATTCAGAGGTTTCTCTTTCTTCTCTTGACATATGACTCTGTGTCCTCCCATCTGTTGGTATCTTTTCCCCTTCCATGTTATCTTCATCTTCATCTTCTAACCGCTTCATCCTCTTGAGGGTCGCGGGGGGGCTGGAGCCTAACCCAGCTGACATCGGGCGAGAGGCAGGGTACACCCTGGACAGGTCGCCAGACTATCGCAGGGCTGACACATAGAGACAAACAACCATTCACACTCACATTCACACCTACGGACAATTTAGAGTTATCAATTAACCTAGTCCCCAATCTGCATGTCTTTGGACTGTGGGAGGAAGCCGGAGTGCCCGGAGAGAACCCACGCTGACACAGAAGGGCTCCCACACCCGGGATCGAACCGGCAACCCTCTTGCTGTGAGGCGACAGTGCTAACCACCACACCACCGTGCCGCCCCCATGTTATCTTATTTTGCTTATTGCTCTGGGAATAATGCAAAACTAAAGTATGTAGCTTTTTGTACTCAACTCATAATTCGATGTTAGCTCTTTCCTGATAAATTTGATTCGCTTAGAAGCACAGACGTATTTGTTGCTCTATCTGTCTGTTGAGCCAATAATGGATGACAGTACATGGATACCACAGGCTGTTTTAACAGCGTTCCTTTGGTTTAATGTAGCTTTTGCGAGAAATAACACCACTTTCAGCCTACAGGTTTGCTCTTACCTCTTGCCACAGGGCTTCTTGGCCGGTGAAAGCCAGCGGCAGATTGATTCCATTGAGTGCCATCCAGTCGATCTCTCTCTCCCATCTTGGCCAGTCCCACCACACAGAGGAATAGCTAAAAGTACAGACGTTCTGGTAATACCGGAATCTAGATACAAAGACACAAATATTATTTACAATAAAAGTTATGAGTCTTAAAATGACATGTTCAAATGATATTAAAAACTAGTTATTCAAAAAGGAAAAGTTAATGATCCTAAAATCCAACCCATCAAACTAAAAAAAAATAAATCAAGCTACAAGTCAACTAAGAGAAACGAAATAACAAAATATCATGCTTTGTTAGCATTAAGCTAAAAAAAATTGTGCCCCTTATGTATAACTATGTACAAAGTTTGAGTCAGGCAGCAAAGCATCTATATCTCTGGTTGATATTTCAACAATCACAAAAGTCATTAAACAACACCTGCTGCAGTTTTGAGGGTCTCTCTGGAAAGCTTAGATTATTATGGATTCAAAATAACTGCATGAGCTAAGTTATTTTCAACCCATTTCACTGTTTATGATTTGATCTCCAACCTAATGCACACAAATAAAGTAGTCTAAGTTGCTTCAAGTATATGACACATCATCAAAATCAGGTTTTACTATCCAGTGCATTTATCAAAAATAATGATTTTATCCATAATTTGACATGTTATTGAAATGCATGTATTTCTTTTCTTGCTTTGTATAAAGTAACAAGTGGTATGTAGGGTTGCAACAGTATACCAGTTTCAAGGTATACCGTGATGTTGAAATTGAAGATTATTGTACCGTGTGCATTTGCTTATCTACAGTATTAAAAAAAAAAGATGCAACTGGACAGAAAATCTCAACTTTATTTTAGGTATTATCAAAAGGGAGACTTTTTAGACATACTTCCATTGAAAAATGGTTTACTGATAGTAATAATTGACCTATGGCTAAGTCCCGCCCTCAGACGCGATGAGCCAATCACAGTACGTATAGCCATTCCCATACACTCGGGACATTCTTTGCCTGGACGTTCATTGAAATGCATTACAAAAAGTCAGTTTTGTTCGGTTTTCATGAGCTTTTTCTGAGATTTGAAGTTTAAAAATGGTCCAACGGTGTGCATGGGGTACATGCAACTCTGACACAAGGTATCCTGAGAGGCTGGGCGACCAGGTGTATTTTTTACCCTTTCTTAAACCACATCTCAACCGAGAAAAGTGTCTCCTTTGGATAAAGTTGTGCGGTAACGTTAGACCACAACATCAACTCAACGTGAATAAGATTAACAATGATGTCTACATCTGTTCTAAGGTAAGTCAACATTGTGTTTGAGGCAACATATTGTCACTTTGCTGGAAAGAAATATAAAGTTATCTTTAACATCTCTAGTTAACGTTAGCTAAAGTTAGCCTAACGTTAGCTCCTAGCTGCGTTGTTCATCATGTCACCTTGTTTGCTGGCAGTTCATTAGCCTATTTTGTTCTAGTTTTGTACTTTGGTGATCGTACACCTAGCTATTGTCCAAAGGGCTCTAGTTAAACTAACGTTAACTCTGGAGCTTAGCTTCATTAACTTAGCTGTAATCGCAGAGATAACAAAGGTTGGCAAACATTATGCTGAATGATTCAGTGTAAATACTGTAGCACCAAACTAACGGAGAGACACTCTCGGTAAAGATGGTAAAAAGGCCGTTATCCTTTTCGCATATTCTGAGCCAAAAACCTTAACTTCAGTGGCACTTTAACTTGTTGTCTTTGATGGCGACAGCAACGAGATGCGGTTCACAAGCGTACACTGGGACCTGTAAATTTTGGCTTGTAATTTAAGCTTTTCATCGACCTTCTCAACAATAAAATGATGAATATATCCCTCCAATGCGTAGTTTAGGCCCTTTTGGTTACTGCTCAATGACATCTGATTGTTATGTCCCCAAAAATCATCAATTGCCTCCTGCGAAATGCTGTGGACTGTGACACCTGCCATAGCGCCTGTCACTGAATGTTGATAGTTTGTCCAAGTGAGTGGAGGGGGAAGTGGCTTAGCCCCAGGTCAATTCTGTAATACCATGATATTTTCTGACATGGTTATTGTACCTAAAAAATGTTGCAACACAGTGGTATTGTCCCTTGTGACTATCATCTTTATTTTGATAAAGTCACGATTTGGGAACAGGTTTTAATGGTTAGAGCATTCGCCATTAGACCTGAAATAATCAGTCAATAAAGCAATTAGTTAACTGAAAATTACCTGGCAACTACTCCGATAATTGATTCACTTTTTGAATTTCAAGCAAACTCCTCCATTGTGAGGATTTTCCATTTTTCTCTGTTTTTTACCCTGAATATCTTAGGCTTTAGACTGTTGGTCGGACAGCCCAGAACCTAAGCTGGTGGCTTTAGCTCTGGTAGAGCAGTGGCCTACCAATCAGCAGATCAGTGGTTCAATCCTTGGTCCCTAATGTTGAAGCGTCCTTGTCCTTGTGTAAGATACTGAACCCAAAATTGCTGTTAGTGCGTATGAATGCTTATCAAAGCTGATGATTTTCAGGTGGCACCTATATGGTAGCCTCAGCCACCAGTGTGTGTTTGAATGGGTGAATGCTAAGTGCTTTGAATGGTCTCTTTGACAAGAAAAAAGCGCTATACAAATGCCCGTTTACAAAAGAAGACATTGGAAATCTTACACTTTGAGAAACTTTGATGGCCATTTTTTTGCCATTTTATGACATTTTATAGACTGATCTGATCAACTAATCAGAAGATAATCTCTTTCTTGTTGTTGACATCTCTGCCCTTTGACCACACCCAGGTTTGTGTCTAACAACGGCAATCTTTGTCAATCGTTCTCCATCTATAATTTTGCGCCCTACTTGAGTCATGCCCACCTCTATTTATTTTTCACCCCTCTCTCCAGTTCTGCTGTATTAACACCAGTTTTAATATATTTTGCTTCCATCTCTCTGCCCTGCTCTACTCTACTTCAACGCTACTTTGCTTTCTCTCTCTACTCTACCAGTAGACTACCACATCCACCTGTTGCACACAACGCACACAGCAGCGTTTCCCCTAGGATGTAGTTGTAGCAGCGGAGGTGAATCACACGCATGAAAAATAATTTTCACATGCATGAAACTTTTTTGTATGCCTTCAAAGCACAGCCTGCTGGGATGTTTCTATGTATCTACTGGCACCAGAAGGGCTCTTTAGGACTAAGTACATACAGTACATGTGTGCACAGTAATGAGCAGGTGAAATGTCTGTCTAGCTTACATATGAGATGTCTCAAGATTTAGGAAAATACAATTTTATTGAATATAATAAAAGTAAAAAGTCACTTGACATGCTGCTGTTTTGTGCTATGACCTATTTAAGTGCTGGAAGTTGTTGTTTACGTGACAACGCCTGAACGCAACACAAGCTCAGCACCAAGAGTGCCATGCTGTCCTGCTGTGTGAGCAGCGTGTTTGTCTGTGCATAACAGCAGTCTGTTGATGGTTATTTACACACTGTCTATACAATAACTTTGTCAGCTGACAAACTGCACCGGGCTCGGGGTCAGATTTGGTCAGGAAAATGCGGCCCAAGCCGCTCTAGTGTGCTCACCTGTGTGTGGCAGAAAGCAGAGGAGAATTGTTAATGCGTGACCATGTAGAGACAGAAATGACAGATGGCATAACACCATAAATAGTATATTGTTGTGTTATTAAGTGAAGCGTCCCTCGCGCAAAATAATATGACTTGCTGTGCCACTCTGTGCTTCACTTGTGCCATGTAACCAATCAATGGGGGCTGTGGGCAGGACACTGTTACACAGCCTGTGCCCGTGACTTCAGGCAGAGAGACCGCTGCATCAGAGCCGAAGGAGCCCGTTTTAAAGGCGCTGTATGTAAGAATGTGGCCAAAACAGTTCCTGCACTCAAATTCAAAATACTGCCACGAGTCGTGTCCGCCCCTCCTCCCCTACAGATTCAAGGTTGCTGGACAGCGGCATGCTGGAGACTGATTTGTTTGCCCACGGGTGGCTGCCGTGACAGGGCCGCGTCACCGCGTCCTTGATCTTCGGTTTTCCAGCAGACCGTTCGAGCAAGTCCGGCTTCTCTGCTGCTAACGCTGCTGCCGGGATACAGCTGAGGAGGAGCCGGCTGCTAATGCTATGTACTGGGACACTGCTAACGCTGCTGCCGGGATACAGCTGAGGAGAAGCCGGCTGCTAATGCTATGTACTGGGACACTGCTAATGCTGCTTGCCGTGCTGCTGTAGCTCAGTCGTAACTGTAACTGATGCTGAGACTCTACTGACTGCGTGACTGGTAGACGGTGGTGGGTGGCGCAACAGGCCAAAACACAAATTCAAAACATAAACATGATTTGTGGACTGTAAAAATGTCTTTTAAATGCGAATATTCTGGCTGTACTGTTGTTGTCAGTGAGATCAGTATGTTATATGAACATTATTCCTTAGTCTCTGTGACATATTAGGAGGATTTTACAACTATTTGTTTTAGATTTCTTACATATAGCTCCTTTAAAATATATTTATTTTATCAATTAGTTATTAACTTTTACTATTTTTAGCAACTTGCCCGATTGGGCAAGTGAGTTGTTAGTTTAGTTAGTTAGTTTTTCCTTATCCGCTGCGAGGGTCATAAGGACAGTGGGATGTCGTATGCTGTAAAGCCCTGTGAGGCAAATTGTGATTTGTGATATTGGGCTTTATAAATAAAATTGATTGATTGATTCCCGACCTTGAGTTTTACTTGCCCTGGGCAATCGGGCAATTGTTATTGTTGAGCCCTCCAAGTGCCATTAGCCCTGTTCATAGAGTCCCTTAAGCAAAGTTCAATGCCGACTGATTGCTCAGGTGTGGTTTGAAAGCTGATTGATTGCTCAGGTGTAGTTTGAAAGCAAAAAAAATCACATGGAGGCTAATAATTTTGACCACCTTAATTTTCACTACATTTGGTACAAAGCAGGGGCGGCAGGGTGGTGTGGTGGTTAGCACTGTTGCCTCACAGCAAGAGGGTTCCAAGTTCGATCCTGGGTGTGGGAGCACCTCTGTGTGAAGTTTGCATGTTCTCCTCGTGTCAGCGTGGCTGGCACTCTGGCTTCCTCCCACAGTCCAAAGACATGC